TATTGAGGACATTGAGAGACAAAATGATTTAAGCAGTGCCCCAGAATTCTACCTTAGGGAAGACAATTTATACACGGTTACAGCAGCACCTTGTTTTGCCCAGTTGGTGCAGCCCAGGCATAGAAGGGCGTTTACTCTGGCCCAGCTTAACGCACTACCTTCGGCAATGCAGGAGGGATGGTATAAAAAGATCCCCTGGGCAGAGTGCCTTTGCCCATGTGGAATGGAGCAGATAGAAACAATTGAACATGTCCTGTTGCGGTGCACATTTGACAAGGATGTACTGTATGTGAAGAACTTGTTTCCCCTCTGACTGGCCGATTTCCTGGCTGTACAGAGCAACAATGTATGCATGTGCTGCTGTCTGACTCCAATCCCATTCTTACACATAGGGTTGCCAAATTTCTTACTGCTGCAATGGGCATTAGAAAAAGGACCCTAAAAGCAGATGAGACTCTGTAGTTAGAGCATGGTTTGCTAGAAATTCTGGAATTGCTTTAGGGGAGATGTTTTGATGCTGTTGTTGTTCACCTCAGAAGCGAGTATTTGCATTTGATCCCAATATTTTTGTATACCTCTGTATATTTATATATTTCGATGTTTTATTTGTGGCTGGTCTTTGACCGTAATAAAGTTTTATTCTCTTCTCTTCTATTCTACTGTAACATAGATGCATCATCTAAAGCAGGACCTGGCAATCTCCACAGGTCCAGGGGCCTGAAAAGTGGAGGGCTGCATGTGCTCTTGACTCCAGCCGCCCTCACCCCAATTTCTACAAAAGCCCCCTTGTTCTTCTGGTAAACCAATTTTTTAAAGGAAAACAAAGTTGGTCTGGGGGACCAGAGTACTGGTGCCCCTTCAGGATATGGCAGACTTGCCTCCCATTACCACCCAGAGGACACAAGGGGAAGTTTTTAGTAATTTTCCTTTAAAATTCTCGACTATTATTTTCATTTACTGTCTGGGGGCACCAGTGGTTGTGTTTTGGTCCCATGGTTTCATTCATGTTCTACATAAGATGTGCACCCCAATCTAATATTGCAGGGGAGGTTATATCTTCAGTGACCATTGTATTTATGTGGAAATCTTGAACTCATGTTCAAAAAAAGTGTTTATGTTTTGGAAGATTACAACTTTTCATTCAATGCTTATTTTAAGATGTCAGTTGCAAGATACGTTTATAGCCAGTGGCTACACTGCAATATTGAAATTTGTCCAAGTTTGTTTCATGTTTATAAAACTGTAAGGTCTTACTCAAAGAACAGTGTAATCTCTGTCAGAAAAAGAGAAAAGCAAATATTCAAAGTCTGTTGTTCAAGCTGGTAAGATTATGAGAAGTTTATACATTTTTTCTACCTGTGTTTTGAAAATGTCCTTAAAGACATGACATAAAATGCTACAGATTTTGAGATTTCACTGAAAGTATATTAAGTCAGAGGGATGTGGTGGCGCTGCAGGTTAAACCGCAGAAGCCTCTGTGCTGCAAGGTCAGAAGACCAGCAGTCGTAAGATCGAATCCACGCGCCAGAGTGAGCTCCCGTCGCTTATCCCAGCTCCTGCCAACCTAGCAGTTTGAAAGCATGTAAAAATGCGAGTAGATAAATAGGTACCACCACAGTGGGAAGGTAATGGAATTCCGTGTCTAGTCGCACTGGTCACATGACCACGGAAACTGTCTTCGGACAAACTCTGGCTCTACGGCTTGGAAACGGGGATGAGCACCACCCCCTAGAGTCGAACACGACTGGACTAAATGTCAAGGGGAACCTTTGCCTTTACTTATACAGTATTAAGTTAGATGCTATACTGTCTTATAGATTCCAAGTCAACATATTCATTGCTCAGTCCATGTGCCACCACGGACTGAATGTGCATCTGTAGCTGCTTTGTGGCAACTTCTCCCCAGGTATTTTGACGGTACCATCACTTACATAGCTTATATTTTCCTTATCAACATGGATTACTCTAGGATAAATACCAACATACACACTGTGATTGATGGATGGTTGGATAGCAGCAGTCAGTGGACCCTTGATGTAGACACCCTGCATCCCCACAAACAGGTAGTAAATGTTACCAGCATGAACAATTTTTCTTGGGCAGGAATGGCGAAATTGGGTGTCGTGCATATTTTGGCTCATAACACTCATCAGGCCATAGCCAGCATGACCCTAAACAGCAGGAACTGTAACCTACGAGCTCTTGGGGGCCAAAGTTCTCTACCCCTATTTTATGGGGTTGGAACATGTATGCAGCCATGTAACTCAACTTTGGATGCTACTTTGCAGTTACACTCTGTTGCATATGCAGGCGAAGGACCATATTCATTGGTTCTAGCTCTTTGGATAAAGCAAACTGTTGTCTGTAGCTTATATGGGAGTTCTTCATCAGTCACCATCTTAATTCATCTGCATCAATCTTTATTTTGGCCTTTTCTCCACTGCTTTGCATTTCAAAGCTTTTGAAATGATAGGCAGAAACTGCTCTCGAGCAATGTTTCAGTATAGCTGAGCAGCCAGGTTAACTATAAATATACAGTATATCTGTTTCATAAGTCAAGCGTGTTTTTAAACATGACATTTTATGGCTGGAAAACTTGGTTGCATTTCAGGAGGAACTCTATTTGCAGACCGTCATCTTCATCCGGAGAAATTATTTTTTAATAATGTAAATGGACAAGGGCAATGACCCATTTTGCAAAGGTTACCTTTATAAACATTATATTGCTTTAATTTTAAAAATAAAAAACTCCCTGCTGTAGGGCTCAACTATTTCCAGATGCGGAAATATTTGGGTTGGAGTCAGAACAATTTTTTGTTTCTTAGTCATGAAGGATCTACAGCTTTCCATCAGATATTTCTGTGACCCATAAAATGCTGAACAGAGCAGGCCTAAATGTGGTTGGGAAAAATGAAATGTTGGATCCCCCTTTCCTTCATCACTTCCAAAGCTCCGATGGCTTCACAGGGTGTGAGAGGTTTTGCCCTTAGGTTCCCCCAGCAGTTCCAGATTTCCCCGCTGCAAAATGTTAGCTGTGGTGATATGGAGGGGACTAGCTAAATCAGCCTTGTATTGACATAGTGAAGGGACCTGATCTGGGATTATCTCAAGGGAATGAAGCACTTTGGCTCTAGCACTGCCTCAAATAATTTATCTAGCCCCTATCCCGGACCTGGAACATCAATTTAAGAGCCTAAAATATGCTACCACTGGCAGTAACAGGTGGTAGATTTATACACATGTAGTAGCACGCGTGGAAACAGAGTTGGACAAATTCAAACAAGACTTAAAAACCTACTTGTTCAACCTGGAACCATAGGGATTGACCATGGAAATAGTCAATTATTGGGATAGAATTACTGTACTTTAATTATTTTATTGTTTTATTGGGACAGAATTACTGTACTTTAATTATTTTATTGGTATTATAGCTATTTTGATTGTTTATTGCTGTAATGATAATTGCTTACTGTATGTTTTTATTAATATATTTATGGTATGGTTGTATTTTAACTGTTTTTTACTATTGGAATGAGCGCTGGTATAGAGTGCAATATAAATAAATATCATTATTATTATCATGTATCAAGGTCCTTTCATGATGAAAGATGTACGTCTAGACTTTGCTCCAACTACAGGAAAATCTTTATATCATCCTGATCCAATTCAGATAGCTTGAGTCGTTAGGATTGTTCTGTTAGTTGTTCTGTACCTAGGTCTTGTTTTTAAGAAACATGGAAGGAAGATTCACAGCAACAGAGAATTACCTTTAAAAATGATTTAAATGGCTTTACCTTTCAGAAAGGTAAATAATTTTGCACCTCTCTCTTTCCCCTTCTCCAAGGCTTCAGGAGAAAGAGAAATTCCCTTCCCTCATTAAAATTTTCAGATTTCTAGAGTCCTTTTCTCATCTCACATATCATAAGAACCCTGTGAAGTTGATTAACAATACAGTATTCCCTCTTCAAAAAGGAACCTTAGAAACAAAAGAACTTGCCTAGTGGCCTTCAATAAATAAGTGGTTATCTGACACAACTGTTGCTCTCTTCTGAGGACTTGCTGAGTTGATACATGAATAAAGATTTGGCAGCTATAATCATTTACTGGGAACTGATGGCAGGCTAATTAACATGAAATAATACTCTGAATTCATGTTTGTTGTGAATGCGGGCACGGCTGCCTTCGTTTGTTGCCTCTCAGAAGGCCCTGCAAGTGCCTCTTCTCTATTTATTGTTGTGAATGCGGGTATGGCTGTCTTTGTTGCCTCTCAAAAGGCCCTGCAAGTGCCTCTTCTCTATTTATTGCTGATAAAAATATAACCATACTAAACCAATTTGCTGCCCTTTTATAACCCAAATCTGCTGCAGTGTTTTGGCCTGGGTAGATAGATATGCACAGAGTTTTGTTGCATAGTTCAGTAAATAGTTCCCTGGGAGAACAGATTCCTGTTTACATTAATTTTTTCTTATGAAAATGTTATGAGAAAGAGAGAGAGATAAAGATTTAAAAAGAACAATATTAATAATTAGGTTAAGGATAGAGAAATTTTTAGACTCTCTTCAGTGTTGACTTACCTATATTTTAGTTCTTCACTTCCTAGATAGAAATGTTCATATAAGGAATACGCCTCATTTCCTTCCCAGTCTTTCAAGTGTATTTTAAGAACATACTGCTTCTGGTTGGTTAGTTGAGAAACCAACTCATTTCCTAGCCAATACTCCCCAGAAGGGTTCCCAAATCCCTATAATCCAAATCAAATATTTAAATATATTAGTTTTGTTTTCCTTTCAGTTAAAAATCATGTCTCTTTTTTTAAAGCAATGTTATAGCTGTCGAGCTATTAACTCATAAATTCTATTGCAAACCAGTTTCTTAATTTTTTCAGTTTTGAGAAGTGAATTTCAACCAGTGCAGACTTAAGAGTAGGAAAATAGAAAAGAATAATGTCGATCTGAAATACCCATGTTTTTAAAAGCCTGTAAATTAAACATCTGTATGTTAACAGTATGTGTGGAAAACATACATTTTCTTTTAAAAACACAAACATCTGTCATTCAAGTTTCTCCATAAACAGAGTTTACCTCAGGTCTGCTTAAAGAGACCACCATATTGGTTTTGGGGGGGAGGGGTGCTCAATCAGGTTGGCTGCCTGGGTTCTCTGTCAAATGCTAAGACTCTAAGGCTTAGAGGTCCAACAGGCAATGTGTGTTAAGATTTGATGGAGGATTATTGGTCAGTGGTAATATTCAAGCAATATGTCTCAACAGGAGCCAGAATGGCATAAGGACATATAGGTAGGTGGAGATGACTTGACCCTATCATATCTACTAGCCCTGGGAAGAGAGCAGTCACTTCTTAACTCTTATGGCTATATTTAAAGGAAAAATTAGAAATGAAGAACTTTTGACCGTCGGGATGAAGAACTTTTGACTGTCGAGATGTTTTCAATTGTCCATTATCTTTGATCAAGCTGGCTGAAGCATCTGAGGCTTGAAGTCTAAAGCACTGGGAAGGCTAAAGTTTTCATACACCTGCATTACGTAATTTTGCCTTACCATTTTGTACTCTGTCCATGTTCGGTCAAAGTCCACACTGCCATCTAAGCGTCGCTGAATTATTGTCCAACCTCCTCCGCTGGTTTCCATATCACAATATGTCTGTTAGAATATACAAACACAGAAAATGCTCACTCTTAATTTGATTCCTTGTACAGTAATATCAGAAAAAATTTCTGTGAATTGAAATGGGTGGGCATGCTCATTTAAGTACTGTAATAAAAATGCCCTATCTAGTGTGAAAAAGTTGCTGCCATAATCTAGGAAAAGTGATAACAGATGTTTTCTGTATAATTTTGTAAGATGCAGTGAAGATGGCAGGGATGTGGCCAATGTGCTCCAGCATTACTGTACACGGAGAAACAGGGTTAATACCGATCATCTCTTTGGGAGGTAGAATGGGCCTGGTTTTAGGCATAATTCTTCTCCCTTCAACACCACTGGGGCTACAGGCACCGGACCTCCGTATATCTCAAAATCTGTGCATAACTTATGCACAGAGCATAATTACAAAGCATAAGCAGTGAGTGAGAGAAAACAGAGTTCCCTCTATTGGAGTTCTCTACCATAGTGTTGACAATAATTTCCATCAGTATCATGTGTCATCATGAGCCTTAAAGGTCCTTATTGACCCCCTGATTTAGAGGCTGGATAAGAAATGTTGTGTTTGTGAGCAAGCAGACCACTTTGACAATGTTGAACTCATGCCCCTGGTTCTGGGTAGCCAGGGGGCACATTATTTATTGACTATTTATTTATAGAAATATTTATTTATGTGAAAAGAAATCTGTGTATAACCAAAACCCTGCTACTCAGACCTGTGCAATTCAAGGGAGAAATGCATTTTCCTCTGTCCACCCATCCGGTGATCAGTTTCCTTAAATCTAAAATGCTAATCATGTGATTGATGGGAAAAATTCCTCTACACAACCTCCTGCCTAGGGATCAATGAATTGCAGCTTATTTATCTAACTGTACTATACTGTAGTGAAAAATATATTCCAGAAGTGGCTACAAATATCGTTGAAAGCCTCCTTCCAGCAGATCCTGTACCATGCTGCCAAATTTTGGTTTCCAAAACACTTTGTTTTTGTTGTTCAAGTCCTAAGTCTGCTGCTCTGGCAGAGACCTACATAGAAAAGAAAACTAAGAAGGACAAAGGCTCACATAATCAAGAGTTGGATTAGAAATATAACAGAAGGGAGCATATTTTCTTCAAAAAGGTGTAACTAATTCTCATAAAAGGTTCAAAGAGTTATTTGCTACAGCTTTTCAGTTTTCTGAACATGATTGACTTGGGCATTTTGACTCTTAGAGCAGTGGTCCCCAACCTTGAGCCTCCAGATGTTCTTGGACTACAACTCCCAGAAGCCTTCACCACCACCTCTGCTGGCCAGGATTTCTGGGAAATGAAGTCCAAGAACATCTGGAGGCCCAAGGTTGGGGACCACTGTCTTAGAGGATGTAATCTAAGTTTAAAGGGGGCAGGAGTTTTCTTGAGTTTTCAAGTGAATTTTATCCTGAGATGTTAAATCACCATATAATTCTTCACATTATTGAACTGCACAGAGTAGTATTTTAACAATACAATATATATACATTATATGAAACGTAAAACAAATGGAATAATCTAAGAAACAGAAAAGTCAAGTCTTTAAGTAAAAGACAAAAGATTTGTACAATCTGGTTTTTCTTCAGATCGTATAAAGTAAAGCCTGTCTGGCCTTCCAAAACACTTTTTTAGAGTGCCATCTAGAACGTAAATATAACTCTCTTGAACTGTTATGTTTTATTTGAGAAAAGAGGAAAATGAGATCATTTTTATAATAGCACAGTGGTATATCTTGAATAAGAAGGTAAGCATGTCAGTTTTACATTGTCCTTTCTAATGAAAGCTTGTAAGGGAAAAAACAAGATCAGTAATGTGCATTGTGCAGGCAGTGTTTATAAGTCCCTCGAAAGGCCAGACTGAGCACTGACAGGAAAAGATCAAAACACAAACTGCCACAGTCTGATAAATAAAAGGCAATTCTATTTCACTCTCAGTAAATAATGTAAAATAATATTTGCAGTTTAAGCCAATTTGATAGAATAATCTGACAGTCCAACACTCCCTCACACAAATATCATCAGTATTTTCTCTGTACAACAAACTAGTAATTCTATAGCTTCCATATGAAGAATGAAATACACTATTACTGCTTCTGTAAAACTTCAGTTTTCCAGGGTTGTTCTATGGGGCTCCATCCAAACTTCATTGAAATGAATAAACTAAGCAATAATAGTGCTTGATGGATTGCAGTCCTAAAATGGTGATAATCCATTAAACTGCTTTGTTTTCAAATAAGAGGCATTATGATGCTGTTTAAATAGTGTAATCATTGTGCCCCATATACCAGGTCTGGGAATAAAAATAGTACCATTAATCATACTGTCTAATTGCTGGCCTAACACTGACCCTGCTTTGGGGTAGGTTTTACAAGAGCATAGTAAAACAGTCATATATAGAAATCTGTTGACAATTTGAACCACAAATAGCTTACACGTTCTACCTAAAGGTGACTGGGTGGTTTGTCAAACAGATTTAGGCCACTGTTGACTCTTTCTCTGTTTAGTGGTATCAATACTATGATGGCTTACAGTGCAAACAAACCAACTAAAAAAAGATTTATGGCCGAAATCCTGTTACTTAGTGTAGTAAGTCACACTATATGGCCATTGAAGCAATGGGAATTTAGCAAGTCAATTTCTCTGTAAATCCTATTGATTCAAATGGGCCTACTCTGACTATACTGTGCTAAAGTAAGTTGCAAATTAAAGTGGGGCCATTTGAATTAATGGAACCTACAGAGGAGTTGACTCACCAAATTAATTCAATGGGATTTACTGTGCTAAGCAACAGGATTTTGGCCAATATCTGTATTACCACCTCTGTTTGTTTTCTTTTCATTAGTTTGTTCCTTAGTTTTCTCCTTTGGTGTAATGAAGGGGTGAATGTGCATAAATGGTAGAGTACTGTGAAGAGACTGCCGTCCTATAGTCCATTTTAGATCCCTAAACATTGGTCAGCCATCAAATCTTCAGCAGCACAATTGCAGATACTCTGATCTGTAAGTGGAGCCAACCTAGAGAACATTTGTTACGATTTTCATGAATTTGGTACTAAGGTTCTGCATAGTTTTTCCATTATTACTTACTTGTCATTCGACTCTAATCACCAAACACCATGTGCTCTGCTTGCCAAAACATTTGCAGAGAAGCTGATTCTTATATGAAAGTACTCTTCCCAGCTAAAAATAGGCTTGATTAGGCAAATATAAATACAAATTTGTCTGCTGGGTATCTTTCCTTACTGCTAGTTTGATAGATTGCGTATAGAATTGTCTTTCCTTTTCTATTTTAAACTTTCTAATATAGACACACTTTAAAATGGTTCTTATATGTATGTCACTATTCAGACCTTCTGTAGGTGTCGTAAACAATTTATCAGCAAATTGTTTCAGGGGGGAAAAGGAAAAATTAATCTGGTTAGTGGAAAAAACCAGATAGTTGAAGGCATGTGTATGTTGTGATAAAAAAAAAAAAACAAGAGGGGCTGTATGTATTAGAGTGATCAACCAGTGATCCCTGTAGGAATGTTTTATGGAAAAATATTTCAGGGATCTTCCATGGGCTTGAGCTGCTGTTTCCAAGAAGAAAGTAGAGTGCCATGGTGTATTTAAACATTCTTAAACTTATATAAGAACATTCTTAGTCTGGAAAAAGTTCCTCATTATGACAAAATTTAACAAAAAGAATACAATACCTTCTTCTCTCCTGACAGTGTGAAAATTCCACTAGTTGTAAATCCTGATTTGAATGCTTCGGCACAATCCTTGAAACTGATCTGTTCTTCTCCAGCCACCAAAGCGTTCTTGGATGCTAAAAAGTAAATACATGAAATCATACTGGTTTAATCCCGGATCTGCCTCCTGTGGACAGAAGGGCTGTGCTCAGGGAAGGTGCCTCTGTTCAGGTTTTCAGGGACATCCCGCCTTCCTCAAACTCGGCAGTTTCCCTTAAGACCCTGCAGTGTTTTCTGGGGACTAGAAGGACTGCTCTGGAGAGGAAGGTGCAGAAGAATCCCATTCCACCAAACTATTTGCACATGCCTAAATCTGGAACCAGTCCATTTATAACAGCTATTGTAGAAGGAAAGTCTGTAAGGTCAGACTTGATCACTGTAGCATTCTGTCACTTGCTGCATTCATGCACAGTTTTCTTGACCTTGTCCAACTGTTCACCAATTAGATTGGTTTAGACTTTGCTGGATATACAAGCCTGCTTCCAGACCATAATTGCTTTTCCACACTTCTCTGATAGTTTTAGAAGCTTCCCCCTTAACTTTGGCAAACAAACAGGGTACTGTTTTTTCCCCACATTAAGGTTAAGCCAACATGTTTTGTTTACTTGTTTGTGCAGTACTTAGAAGATAACATCAGTAAAAACATGCATAGCTTTGGAAATGTTCTTAAGAAACTATTTTTAGGGCTGTCAGAAATAAATTGCCCTGTAAATGGCACAACAGTATTTGTTGGAAGAAGTGTATTCTAAACTGATCATTATATATTTGAAAATATAAGTAGAATACGCAAGACATTTTTCCAGTACAGAATGTTCCCCTTCAGGGTATAGCATACCTCATTTCCAAGATAATCCATTCCATTTCTCTTTCACAATTTTTAAACTCTTACTTCCCTGAAACATTGATCACCATCTCCTGCCCACTGAGCTTGCTCAGTCACTTTGGGACCATGTTTGGGATCCATGATCGCAGTCCTTACTGGTTTGGGTACTTCTGTTCCCCCAAGTCTTCTGTCATCTTTCTCTTGTGGTAGGTTTTATGCTGCTTCTGCTACTAAGGTAGTTATACTCAGATAATTATTTTACCATAAACTACCAATTGGATTCAAATAAACATTGGTAGTTTATTAATTGAGGAATATAATTTATTAATAACAAGTTTCTGAAGGCTGAAATTATGCTTCTGTTGTAGCAAAATGGATTCCCTGTAGGTTTTGAAAGTGCTGAGTGGGTTTATATCCACATATACCTGTGAGGAGAAACTTCCTCAGACTCCTCATCAGGGAAGAAGTGTTTTAATTGGCTTAGTTGACCTGCATCCAGTTTAATCTCAGCTGGAGTGAACTCACTGAATCAATACAATATATTATCTGATAACTCACCATCCAGCAATCAGTTCAGTGGGCAGAATCCTGTGCCTTCCAGCAGTCAGGCAGCTTCTGAGCTTGTACAATGTGGTATTCAGTAATACCTTCTTACAGAAGCTCAAAACTATAGCTACTCGTGCAATAGATCTTTGCACAGGTAAATGAAGTGAACAGGAATCTGCTCAATATGTTTTATTCAGCTGAGACTAGTAGTTGGATTTAAGCCCCTACCCTCTGGGCCAGCTTCATTTTCAGTTGCTGAAAGAACCTATTATTGACTCATCAAAGGACTGATTTAATTCTGATCCTAAAGTGCAAATATAATGTGGTGGAAGTTATTCCTGTGTGGCTACCCTGTCACATTGTCAGGGATTGTTGTAGATGCCTAAAGTGCAAATATAATATGGTGGAAGTTATTCCTCTGTGGCTACCCTGTCACATTGTCAGGGATTGTTGTAGATGCCTCACAGTCTTGTCATTCTCAGAATTACTATGATATGAGGATTAGCACCAATACAAGAAATTGACACAATGGACTGCACATCATGGAGCTACATCAGAATAGTTTGGACACTCTGAATCATTTTCTTTATGTCAACATGGATAGGAAATAAAACTAACCTAAGCCTTTATGTACTTGTTCTGATTATGAAATTGACATAATGGGTTGCACATCATGGAGCTACATCAGAATACAGTAGTTTGGACACTCTGAATCGTTTTCTTTATGTCAACATGAATAGGAAATAAAACTGACCTAAGCCTTTATGTACTTGTTCTGATTATGCTTTATGTAAGGAAAGAAGCTGTTTGTTACTGCAGAAACAGAGGAATCTTGAGCAAAAAAACCCCCCACAATTTCTCACTATAACAATTTATGTGTTCAACCTCACTTACGATTTGGTGTAGCAATTATAGAAAACAAGTTCTGGACTGTTTCCCTCAAATCATGTTGCTGTTTTTGTAGGAATGAGTTGTTAGCTGTGGCAGTGATCAGCTGTTTCTCCAGTTCTTCGATTATAGAATTCTGCCTAGAAACTAGTAACTGAAGCTTATCTTTTTCATCCTTGATCGTCTGTAGCTGGAGCGTATGTTTGTCTTCCATTTCGAGGACTTTTTTTTCTAAAAAGCTAAGAAAAGCAAAAAAAATGTGATTGATGCACCATTTATGAGTACAAAATAGTACATTTAAATGTACTAGTTAAGGAACCATGATTGTCCAACGTAGACTCAAGTCAAAGGGTTACTAAGCTACAAAAATGTCAGCATGGTAAAGGTTCTTGAAGGCAGTTTCTCCCTTTTACAAGGGTGGTGGAAAGAGAACCTGACCTCAGTTACAATATTATATTTGAATGCCACATCTCTTTAATTTCCTGACCCATTCTTACACACCAATTTTAACTAATTGAAAAGAAAAAGGGAAACAGGATTCTTAAGAGCCTGACTGCTGTGTGTAGCGCAAATGTTCAGCACTCCTATAGAACTGCTGCCTGTACACACTCCAGAATGTACCATATTCACTTAGCTGCAGTACAACCTGCATCACGTGTCTTCCGCTAACAAAAATGTCTTTGGAAGGGCTCCTACTTTAGTGTAAGGGATACCTCTGGAACAACCTTCCAACTCTAGATTTCTAACAAACTGTGCACAACATGTCAGAATCAGAGGCTGGGATCCAACTAGGGAGCTGGTTCTGTTGAGAAAACCAGGAGGGAGCAGTCTGCGCTCCCCCAGAGGTCCCTTCAAGCATCCTTAACACTTCCATAAGGCTCATAAACTCTCTGGAGAAAGGTTTTGGCAGTGCAGAAGGCTGCAGGGGAAAAGAGACAGAAAGTCCCATTGTACTAGCAACTGTCCACATGAATGATATTAACGCTCACTCCTGATTTTCTTCATCAAATGCTTGAGGAAGTATATTGGCTCAGCAGATGGGACTTCATTTGTCTCTTCTTCCATTAATACTGGAAGAAGCATTAATAGCACATGTTCCAGTGCAGCAAATGTATTTTTCCCCTCGTAGGCAGCACATCGTATATTTCCAGCCCTATTCCTATGCTTACCACAATAAATGACTTTGTAATATTGAACCCCTGTTTACTTTGCTCCTCTTGGGTAAAGTATCTTGTTTGCATAAAACAAACCTTGTAGGACCATACACAAATATATCAGGAGAGTGAAGACAAATGTGAAAACATGACCTTTCCCCCACAATGTTAATGTTTCCTAGAACTGAGAAGTTCTTTCAGCATAAGATTCCTACTGAATAAAACAGTTTGGGTATTCAACCCTACAATGTACTACTACAAGCATAACAGAGGCCCTATGATCTGTTTGGTCCTTATTTTATAAAACAGCTTGTTTTTCTCCACAGTACAGCTGTTGACATGTGGACCTCTCAGTATGAAGACCTAAGAAACATTAAGCAGAACATATGTGCTAATTATGCATTCATGATTGATAACTTTCATTGTAGCAAATTACAGTCCCATTTAGTAAACAATAAGGTTGATTTCTCTTAAATATGTAACTAGCCAACTGCAGGTCACACACAAGGCTTGTGAAGTAAATCATAATTCGCCTTTCTTTTCCTGGTGGCCTAGTGTGATCCCAGCTCAGCAAGAAATGTTAACAGTTCTGTTGGCCAGCTGTCATTCAAATATTCTGGGTAAACAAAAAGAGACTCAACATCCTTTGATGTTGTAGAGTGAGTAAAGAAGGAGGCAGGGATCTTGTCTGTCTTTCAACTGATGCTCAGGACTGGATTCAGGTGTTTCATCTCTTTGGTGATTTAAAAAAAATGGAATTAAAATTCTTGTGTCATACAATGCAGCTGAATAATCAGATTTTGGCCGGCAATCATATGAGATTGCTCTAATAGGAACAGTGAGTTTGACCACATTTTGAAGTTTGGGAGAGAAGACAGATCTCAGGTCCCTTCCAACTCCATTACAGTATTCTATGATTCACAGCAATAAAAAAAGTATAAGAGAAGACAGCATTCATTACTCTTGGCTCATTCTCTTAAAGAAACCTCTCCCAAACAGACAGCTTCCTGATCTTTTGATGTATAAACCCCTATAAGCCAGCAAAGCCAGTTGAGGAATTGTGGGAGTTATTTGAAAACATCTGGCGAGGACCAGGTTTGGGAATGCTCTATTACAACAAGTTGCATTGACCAAATAGTTTTGGAAAAGAGGAGTGGTTCTGTAGTTTGGTCAATGCAAACTTGTTGTAATAGAACATTCACAAACCTGGTACTTGCAAGATGTTGGTTGTCAATGGATAAGGGAAAATTGTAGAGTTTAAGGTGTTATTTTTGTGAGGGTGAAGACTACAAAGTGTTGTTCAGCTTAAGCAAGCAGTGGAAAGCTTACGTCTCACTCCAGCAAAAAAGCAAAGCAAAGCATGCTGCTTATATATGGCACTTAAAGCACACTCTGTGTGGTTTACAAGTTAATTACAGTATGCAGGCTATACATTGCCCTCTCTCCTAGTGAGCTGGGTACTCATTTTACCAACCTCAGAAGAATGGAGGTTGGAGTGAACCTTGAGCCAGCCACCTGGGATTGAACCACAGGTTGTAAGCTCACATTTGGCTGCAGTACAGCAAATTACTGCACCACAAGGCTCTTAAGCACATGGTTAACTTCAGTTCTTCTATAGAATTTATCTTCACTATACTCTACATAATGTCCACTGTACTCTACATGGACTTGCATGGAAATTAGGACACACACCCCTCAATCTTTGGCACATTAAATAAATTGCATGTATGTAAATAATATTTTCAGATGTTAATCACTTGGTTCAATTGTAGTATTCTCTTAGCCAAACAATGCAAAACAATGCAAAAACATTCCAAAAGTAAATGCAGCTAGCTGAGGCCACTAAGTTGATTTCCTAGTGACAAAAGGACAATTGATACCAGCAACACATAAATGTACACTAACAGTTATTACCTGTTTTTTTCTTGCAATTTACTGATCTCACTGGTCTGATCCGAAATCTGCATCTCTAGCTTGTTAGTTGAAATGGAATGTGCTAGAAGCTGTCTTTCAAGTCTTGATGTCTGATTCAGTACCTACATTTTGATAAATTCAAATTTAAAATACATTTAAAAATTCAGCATAGTTTACAAGTTAGTCATACAACTAATCACAATTAGAGAAAAAAGAATACAATGAGGGATCTGATGTGGATGAACAAACTGAGGCTCAGTCTAGACAAGACAGAAGTTGTTAGAAGAAAAGTCAAGCTTGAATTTACATCCTGTACTTGATGGGACTGCACTTGCTCTGCAGGATCAGACTGGAAGACTGGAAGTGGTCATAAAACCAGCATTACTCTTGGAAAACCGACTGTAACCGGTTGTTACAGGCAGAATTGCCTTTGCTTAGGTTCAGCTGATACGCCTCCTGGATCACTTTTGACACAAGCACAAGTATTTTCTGATTAGACTATTGAAATCTGGTCTATAGGGAGATGCCCTTGAAAAATGAGTGAAAGCTACAGCTAGTAGAAAATGCACCAGTTAAACTATTGTCCGATATGCTTTTTAGAGACCATATATCACCAATCTGGAACCAATTGCACTCAGATCCAATTTGTTACCAAGCTCATTTCAGTATGTTGGTTTTAACCTGAAAAATTCCTGAACATCCAGAGGCTAGGATATCTGAAAGATCACCTCCTCCCATATATGTCTGTGCAGAATTTGAAATACTCAGTGGAAGACCTGTTGCATGTCCCACCAAAATTTAGGTTGGTGAATGCATGAGATGAATTTTCCTGCAGCAGCATCTTAATTGTTGAACTCTTTTTTAGAGGAAGTCAAACTAGCTCATTATTATTCAGGTTCCAGCAGGCAGCCAAAATGATATTGTACCATGTGGCTTTTGGTTTTTAAAACTTGTTTTAATCTGTTTTAAATTAAAACATATTTTTTAATATTTTTATTATATAGTATTTTGGGGGTGCACGGTGGGTAGGAAAGTGGTTAATTAATTTTAATGAGTAATAAATGAATATTAATTCCACACAGTACTAGCTTGTAGCAATATTGTAAATAAAATTAAGAAAGGGAAGCTTCTATATCCACTTAAGGGGGACTAAGTCACTCACAGTAGCATAAGAATTTATGGGAAAGAACCTACCCACTTCATCAGATAGTTTGCTATTGAAATTATAAAGACATTCTTGACAAGGAATATTCTTCCTTGTGAAGTTTCTTTTTCCTTTTTTGATCAGTCACTTCATAGTTTCAGTTTTAATATGATGTGGCTGTTACATCTTCTTCTCAGGTATGCCCTTTTTGTGTCTTAAGAATAGCATCTGCTTTTAAGAACTAGGAAGCAGAACTGACATGTGGAGTGTTGCTTTCCGCTCCATTCTGCTACTTGTTCTTTAGTCCATATCGTTTCCCCATTGTGTTTTAAAACAACTTTTGATTCATCAGAATTTGGCTTCAGTTGGCAGGAGGAATTTACTCACTTCCTTAATGTTGTACAGTCATTCAGGACGTGATTTCACACTTAAGTGTATTTCCAAACTGTTGCTGAAGATTTATTTGCTTACCGTGTTTTTATACTGCCCTTCGTCTTATCAGATTGCAGAGCAGTGTACCAAGAAAACAACAGATAAAACTTGAAAACAGAAGGAAACGTGCAGAATTAAATTAGCAGAATCTTTTGAAATGTCTGAATAAATAAAAATATCTTTGCTTGGCACCTAAATGATAGCAATTGGTGATGCCAGATGAAAGTCTCTTGGGAGGGCATTTTTCAATGGGGTATCACAGCCAAGAAAGCTTTCTCCTTGATAGCTAATCCTTGTACTTTACCCCAAATGGTAGAGGTATAGAGACAAAGAGCTTGGCAGAAAACCAGAAATAACCAATACCTTAAATTGGACCTGGAAGCAAGCAGGCAGTTCATGAAACTTAAAAAAACACACACCTGTCTTTTTAGAGATTTGCCTGACTTACCAGTTAAATTCTGGCAGCCATATTCCATAAAAATTAAAGCATCTAAGTTATTTTCAAGGGCAACCCACCTTTTAACACATTACAGTAATAAAATCTGCAGTAGAGTTGGTATGTCTCAGGCCACTGACTGAAACCTGCCCATACTCAAGTTCCGGGCTGGGAGATAAAGTCTCAGGGAGAGCAACACTGGAGAAGGACAAAGTTGGGTTGTATATGTGATGTTTTAGAACCTGGGCAACCATTGACAACCTGAAGCTCCTGGCACCAGAACTGATTGGTTCAGGTCAAAGCTGTGTATATGTCTGTTGAACTAGTTGCAACATCAACCCAGCAATAAGGCAGGAGAGACGGGAGAGTATTGGGGAAAGAGCCACAGACGTCATGCCACGGAACCCATTGGACTGTTTCCCTTCGAAGTGGGAGTAGAGTGCCAGTGGTGTAACCTATAGACCTTTTTGCAGAAGCAGTGGTTCAGAGCCTGGAAATAACTGTCTGTGGGCTGGGCAGTGAGCTTTTCACGATCCTCAGTACCTAAGAACAACCTGAAAACCCCCCCAATGTGTCCTATGCACTGTAGGATGTGAACTCTGGTACAAACCACTGTAGCTGCTGGGTGCATTTCACCACCTGTCTGGTGGTCAAAATGTACTTTTCCCCAGCTCTAGGTCACCATATTACATGTTTTACCCAGATTCCCTTTGTGCCTCTTTCCACAGTTAGTTGGCCTGGAAGCAGTTCCCCCCTGCCTTCGAATCCTTGCCTGTCCCTCCATGAGAGTCCATCATATGACACTGTATTTGCCCAACTACTGGTCTTAGGTCTTGACTCTGAAATATCGGGGAGTAGGATGCTCCTAGCCTGGCATTACTTATGGGCAGGCTTATGGGCCTGGCATTACATGTCAAAGTACAAATCACAGAAGTCTGAACCTAGTGCCTTTGAGAAAGGAACTATTCAGTCAATCTGCTTACACTGTTCATTTTAATCCAGAAGCTGAACAGAAGCATCCATTAGTCATATACTGTATTTTTCCGTGTATAAAATGACACTTTTTCCTAAAATAGAGGAAAAATTGAGGGTCGTTTTATACACAGAAGGCGGCAGCAGGAGACAGAGGTGGAGGAGCAGCCGCGCTCAGCCACCTCCCGCGGCTGCCCATTGACTGCTGCCCCCACCATCCGATTGCCCCCTCCCAGCGCCATTGCTGGGGCCCACCTCCAGCTCATGCTGCCACCTTGTCCCCTGCCTGAAAGGTGCCTGTGAGTGGCACTGGATAAGGCGATCCGTTCGTTGCACCGGCGGCAGCAGTCAATGGACAGCAGCGAGAGGCGGCCAAGCACAGCTGCTCTGTTGCCTCCATCTCTGCCTCCTGCCGCTGCCGATTGCCCCCTCCCAGCGCCATTGCTGGGGCCCACCTCCAGCTCATGCTGCCACCTTGTCCCCTGCCTGAAAGGTGCCTGTGAGTGGCACTGGATAAGGCGATCCGTTCGTTGCACCGGCGGCAGCAGTCAATGGACAGCAGCGAGAGGCGGCCAAGCACAGCTGCTCTGTTGCCTCCATCTCTGCCTCCTGCCGCTGCTGCAGTCTCCAACTGCTCCGTTGCCTCCATCTCTGCCTCCTGCCGCTGCTGCAGTCTCCTCCAACACCACTCGCGGGCTGAGCAGCAGCAGCAGGAGGAGGAGACGGAGACAAAGGAGCAGCCATGCTCGGCCACCTCTCGCTGCTGCCCATTGACTGCTGCCACCGCCATCAAATTGCTTCCTCCAGTGACCATTTCCTTTGGACAGGGGACAAAGTGGTGACATGAGCTGGAGGTAAGCCTCAGCAGTCGCACTGGAGAAGGTGGTTGGATGGCGGAGGCAGCAGGAGACGGAGGAGCAGCTGTGATGGGCCTCCCCTTGTGGCTGCCTGTTGATTAGGGGGTTGTCTTATACATTGGGGGGTCATATACATGGAAAAATACGGTAATTCTGAAATGCTAAAGAATGCAACATAGCCATATACACTTCAATATAAATGGTGAAACTAACTTGCCACCCCCACCATCCCTGTATTTTACAGCTGTGCATTTTCCCCTAGCAGAAAAAACAAGTACAGTATAATGTGGATCAATTACTGTCATTTTCAAAACTTTTGAATGTTCTGGTCTTTTTAATTACAACATTATGTTGTAGTAGAAATGCAGTAGATGTGTGAGAGTGTTCATTTGTGTAGATATCTCCATGGTATGCTAGTTACTATAGCAAAAGAGTTTCTGTACAGGAATTCCAAAAATGTAACTCCACACATGCAGCATGAGTTGGTACATTCTTGAGTCCTCATCTTTTACATTATTTTGATTGAATGCTTTTCTGTTTTTCAAAATCAAAATGCACAAAAACTCTCTGAAATATGCACAGATAGTTTTACTAATTAGCTGTGTGCTAGTAGAAAGATTTCTGCACCACACACACACACCCCTTAAAAGTAAACCTTTGGAATACCATCATAAGAACATGCAAGCTATTTTTTCAAAATTTTACTTCAGAAGTTTTGAAATGAATTTATTATTTCAGGATGTCTGCATTGTTTATTCTGTAAATGTAATAGTTTGTGGTTACTCCATGATAACCACACTTCTGGATGGAGTTTGACTTGTGAACTATCATGTAGGACATTTCTTTTCTCTCTTCCCCATTTGAGTATGAGAATCTTTCTGTTCTCCTTAAGGAACCAGAATTGATTTGGGACTTGGACATCAACTTCAAAACATGTGACAATTTATTTTTCTTTGTTGCTTCCTGTTATTCCCTAACCTTTCTCCCACTCAGTTCAATCTTTTCATTTATCCTACAGTTAAATATCTTGAAACACTAAACCTTATCCAAGTTTCCTCTCCAACTATGTAGTGCATAAGGATGCATCATTTCTAACAGCTTGTTTGAGTACTGCACGAGGGACTACAGAAGATATAACTTATGGATACTCTCTCACTTCGAATTCCTAATGGAAGCACAAAGATTTTGCTGCGGTTTGGAGAGCAGGAAGAGCAATGATCATTAGAGATCAGCACGAACCAAATTATGAACCAAAACAACCCCATGAACTGGGTGGTTTGTGGTTCACTTCAGATCCTGTTTTGTCAAAATGAATCAAAGCTCTGAAACTTCTTACACTTGGTACTTCGTTCTTGGCAAAAGAATGCCCCCGACCCCCTTCCTACTGCCTCCATCACCTCCCTACCTGGTTCTGCTGCCTCCTTCTCTTTGTCCACCTCCACCATCTTTAGAGACGGTGGCCTGGCTTCCCTTCTGTGAGCTGGATTAGCTGTCTCTGTGCATGAGCATGCCTATCAGCTGATGGGTGTGCACATGCGCAGAGACAAGCAGCCCAGCTCCCAGAAGGGAAGCTGGACCACTGTCTCTAAAGATGGCGGCAGCAGAGGACAAAGGGGAGGCAGCAGGACCAGGTGGAGGGGGCAATGTGGGCAGTGGAAAGGGAGTGGGTGGGAGGCAGAGGAGATGGAGGCATTAGATTCCCATCTCCCAGTCATGAACCGGAGAAGAATGAACCATGAACCAGTTTGTTTTTCTGAAGTTTGTGGGTTGCCATAAACTATGAGCCACCCCCAATTCATCATCTTCATCAACAATTTATTCATATGTGACTTTTCTGTGGTAAAACCATGTCCAAAGCATCGTATAGAAAGCCTCAGAAGAATTGTGTAATGCTTTGTTTTTCCCCTATAGTTCTCTAATACACTCATAACAAGATCAAAACAGAGAAACAAACTTATCAAAGCATCTCTCATTCATACCACGGTGTTATTAGAAACACATGAAGAAAAATATTCTCTTGATACGGCTTGCAGAAATTCCCATCTAGCATACTAGCTTCCTTTTGACTGTGTGGTTGGAGGAGATACATAATTTCTGCTTTCTTGCCAATGCCTCAGTGAGGATTTGGCCCTTCCCTCCCTGGTGGTGTGAATCATTCTGAAAAACTGCCCTTTCCATTGTAGTAAAACTTGTGTGTGGGGGGGGGAAATCAGCAGGTGTCAACAGAAGCTTTTTAAAGCCTGGTTGCAATGGGGATAGTGGGCGTGGATATGTGTGAGAAAGAGTAAGAGAGAGTGTGTGAGGAAGAGAAGGAGATAAAGATCAGGAGAGTGAATGAGACAAGATAACAATAACAAGAGGGGTCACATTTCAGCAGTGGGATGGCCGGCATTCACATGGATAAGGCTCTGCCCACTGGTAATATGTAGACCCATGTACATGCTTGCTGGAACCAGTTTAGGATCCAACAACGTATGTGGGAGCCAACATATCACCTCTGTACTGAATTAAAATGCATAACCTAGCTTTGGACTCATCATCTCTTCTCAGTCTTCTCTCAAGCATCAAACATTTCCATTTTGCGCAAGGAGCTGTTTCCTGCTTCTAAGCTGAATGTTCTCACAGGGCTCCAAATACATATGTCTCGTCAGGGCCACAAACGTAACTCTTAAGACACCAAACATAAGAGACATGACTTTGGATTATCCAGAATTATTTCAGATTGAACTATTACTACTTACATGTGCTTCAACATCTGTTAATTTACGGGTCTGTTCAGCCGTTTGATTTAGAAGGTTTGTGCCTATTTCCATCATGACTGCTGTCTGGTTCTGTACTGCGTTCTGCTGGATCTCTACCATTTCTTTTTTCATGTTATCCTGGATATAATTTTCAAGCTGCATGACAGAAAGAAAAGAGAATGTTTGTAACTGTCTACTGTTTCATTTGTTTCATAAAGGTGTTCACCATTCTTATTAGACTGCTGATCCTCGTTAGTGGTGACACTTTCTCTTCATTACATTTTTTTAAAAAAATGTTTAATAGGCAAGATGAAATAGGGTAGCCTGGTAGAAGAACATCAGCTTGCAATCTGTGAGCCAGCTGTACAAAACTGAGCTGCCTGCTGACCTCTGAGTCTGTTTGGGGGGGGGTTAACCTTCTTACAGGCCTAGTTCCATCAAAAGTCTTTCTAAGAAGCTCAAAAAAGCAAAACAAAAATATGCATTAGAAGAGTATTCATGAGATCACAGCCTGTTGGGATTATTGGTGTTTATTACAGTGTTGCAGCCAGGTACAGTGTTTGTAACCTACTGAAAATAAGATCAGTTCTGGAAACTAGTATTAGGCCAAAGAAAGGAAGACAGAAATGCACCCTTTATTGTATTAGAGAATCAATTTATTAATTGTTCACAGGCAAAGGATCATTAGATTTATTTACCATAGCCCTTGCAAATTGCTTTCATTCATGCAGGCCTACAGTCAGCCATTATGGAGAGCCAGTATGTTGCTGCCTTTCTCTGGCAGCGACACCATGAAACAGGAAGGGCCACAGAGGAAGAAAGATGAAGGAAGAAAGCTTGAGAGTGCAGCTTTATATATTGATTTAGAAAGATCAATATATAAATCACTATATAAAGAAGGAAATTATCTATCTGGCTATTGATCCTGCCTCCTCTGTGCACACACCAGGACTAGAGTTCTTAAGGTTTCCTTGGTCTCCAGACAGTAAATATACAAGAGGAAGAAAAAGCATCATGGGTGTGTGTTACTACATTGGCCATTTACCCCACAATTTATCTCACACTGGGCTGAGATGAATTTGAATGAAAACCTGGTGGCTACACAACATAATGTGCAATGCAGGGGGAGCCCATTGTGGAATCATCTTCTCTCTGTGTGGAGTCATCTTTTTGGGTCAGGTGCTAGTTTCAATTTGTTGCAATCTGTTTAGTATTACTTTTGCCCGCTTTCTGCCTGTGTGGTTCCTTGATTTGAAACAAAGGGGCTCTTGGGGTGGGGCGTAACGGTTCCACTCAACCAAGTGTGTCTTGTATCTAGGGGCAGGAGGAGTGGTTCACCTAAGTGTTGGAACAGGCTTCCACTAGAGCTCTTAGGAGACCAATAAGAAAGAAAGGAAGAGTGGAGCCCACTGTCAACTGAGCTCTCTGACTCCGCTGACTCCTGCAAATCTGAATGTCTACAGCAAATTCGCCTGAGGAAACTCCATTTCCATAGATAAGCAGCACAATGCATCAACTTGCATTTTTCCCCACTGTCTAGTCACTGTCTAGTTAATTCTGCCTCATGCAGACATACAGGTAAGGTGAAGCCAGCATTCCCTGGGTTGAACGCTGCCACTTTTTGAGTAGCTGGAGCTGATGCTACAATGACACTGGCAAGCTGAACTGCAGCAATTAGGCTTTACTGTGGCTTGATTCGCAACCTGTTTTATTTATTTATAATATCCCCGCCCCCCAGCTTTCTCCTTAAAAAGGACCCAAGGTGCCTTACATCCTTAGAGGACAATATTTAAAGCTCAAAACAAGAAGTATACAAATAATAAAGTGTCAAGCAAATGCAGCTCTGAGAAATGGTAAACACAAGTAATAGTAAAAACACATACAAAGCAGTAAGGCATATCAAGCCATTTACAACTCCCACTCAGGCAAGAAAGAAAAATGGATTTTTCCAGGTACAGATGATTCTTGAAAGTATTCTTATTGTAGTGCAAAGGATTTGACAGTGGTTTGGTCTTGAATTGCCAGTAAAAAGCCATTAACTTTATAGAAGACTTGTTTCTTATTGTATTGGTTTGGATTAATTCAGCAGTCTGCATTGTTGGATTCTTCTTCTGGAGAAGGGCTGCCGATCGGGAAGTATGGCACACATTTGCATTTTCAAATTTGCCACAAGACCCCCTGCATCCAAGGCCTATTTACCAATTCATGTCACTAATCACCTATGGAGTTGATAAATGCTGAATGTGGCAACCATTTCAAAAGTAAGGCAAGACTGATTGTAAGATTAAATTTTCTTCTCAACTTTGAACTTCCTTTGGCGTGGGAGGAGAGGCCATATTGTTTTACAGATACCATTTCTAGTCTACCTAATACTATGGCAAACATTTGATCAGAAGATTGTACAGGAGAGGCTAAAGTAAATGCAAGATGCTACTAATGGTGAGGAAAGGAACTTTGGCAATGGTACCTGGTGTTGGGAACAGTTGTACACATTCCTGTTCTCATCTGTGTAACATTGAAGAGTATGGACATGCTCTTAAGTGTAAGGACCATAAAAAGTTGAGTGACCGCCTGAAGACTTGGCTGCATGGCAGCTTCCCACCATTATCACTTCTGGGGCACCCACTGCACTAGTATCTAGTATCGGGAACTCTGGACATGTTATTTAGAGATGAGTGAAACTTAGGCAAAGGCTCAAAAGTTTAATCATCTTCCTGAACCAAGAGTTCAAATGTGTAAGAGGATCTTATACCTACGTTGATAGGGATTAGACAAGAAGTCTGGTATGCTGAAACAATGTTGTTTGTGCATTGTTATTCAGCTTTAAGGCAAACAATGCATAAACAGCCAGGGTGAGAAACAATGTCTTCCTTCAAAGAATGCCAAAATAACAACTGTTTTGAAATGATCTCAGAGCACATTCTCATAAGCACTGGGGAGCTAATAATATATTCCAAGGCTTTCATGAATGGGTTTGTTGTTGTTTTAATTTTAGGCAAATGCCATACCTTTCCGTAGACCCTGAAAATCAATCTTTTCTTTCTTTTTCCCATTTTCTGTGATATGTTTTAAGGGCTATTCTGCCCCTTAGCAATGCTATCTCTAGCTGGATGTATTCCCCCATTTCATAATTAACGTCCCAGCTCCTTAAAAAAGTAGTTATTTGGCAAAGCTACATTTCTAATAAGAAACAATTACAACTATTTCTGTTTCTACTTGTATTCATGGGGCATGTTTCTCTCTTCCCTTTTTCTTCCCATGTGGACTTTGTTTCTTAATACTCAACATTTTAAGGTCCTCAGAAGTAGGAACTCGCCTCTTTCTTTAGTTCTATAAAGTCCATGTTTCTTATATGATATTCAAACGCAGCAGCACATATAGTAAATATATGTTACAAACTTTAAAATACTGTATCTGTTTCTATATATTTTGTTAATTGCATGGATTTCACATTATTTAAATCTGTTACAGGGAATTTCCATTTATTGTATTGTTATAAGGTCTTTTTAGTGTGGAGCCAAGCGTCAAGAGTTCAGTTCCCCTTGAGACTTCCAGTAGAGCAGTCAGCCTATGTGGCCCAGGGCAAGCTGCACAGTCCCAAAGCAGTCCCAAAAGAAGGAAATGGTGGATCACTTCTGTATATTCCTAAAAATCCCTTAAGGGATCGCCATAAATCAGAATTGACTTAATAGCAAATAATCATTAGTTTGTAGTGTTAATAATTATTGTCTTTTTCTCAGTGCTAAAATATCTAGTACACTTGATTTTGCTCAGCCCAGTAGTCCAAACAACAGCTATGTATTAAATGTCTGAAGCTAATTATTGATATGGTTCAAAATTGGGAAAGGAGTACGACAAGGCTGTATATTGTCCCCCGGCTTATTTAAGTTATATGCAGAATACATCATGCGGAAGGCTGGACTGGAGGAATCCCAAACCGGAATTAAGATTGCTGGAAGAAATATCAACAACCTCCGATATGCAGATGATACCACTATGCAGATGGAGACAGCAACCACGAAATTAAAAGACGCCTGCTTCTTGGGAGGAAAGCAATGACAAACCTCGACAGCATCTTAAAAAGCAGAGACATCACCTTGCCAACAAAAGTCCGAATGGTCAAAGCTATGGTTTTTCCTGTCGTGATGTATGGTAGTGAGAGCTGGACCATAAAGAAAGCAGACCACCGAAGAACTGATGCCTTTGAATTGTGGTGCTAGAGGAGGCTCTTGAGAGTCCCCTGGACTGCAAGGGGAACAAACCTATCAAATCTAAAGGAAATCAAGCCTGAGTGCTCACTGGAAGGACAGATCCTGAAGCTGAGGCTCCAGTACTTTGGCCATCTCATGAGAAGAGAAGATTCCCTGGAAAAGACCCTGATGTTGGGAAAGTGTGAAGGCAAGAGGAGAAGGGGACGACAGAGGATGAGATGGCTGGACAGTGTCTACGAAGCAACCAATATGAAACTGACACAACTACGGGAAGCAGTGGAAGATAGGAGGTCCTGGCGTGCTCTGGTCCATGGAGTCACGAAGAGTCGGACACGACTAAACGAAACGAATTATTGATAAATTCAAAGTTGTTGATTAAAGTTATTACATGTTACAATTTCAGAATTCAGACATTCCCTTCCATTTATTCCATATCTGTATATTATTTCCACTGCACAAACATTTCCCGTACAGGTAGTAGATGAGTCCAGTATTGCTTAATCATAGTGTTTAAACTGTGAAGTTGCTTCATAATCTCAGGACAGATAGTATGGTTACTGTGAAGAGTTGTTTGGTAGAAACAGACTTGAAACTGTGACTTACTGAGGCTCATCATGCTATGTTAAACTATGGCTTGTTAGACCCCACTTTCCTTCTGCCCCCATCTACAATGGTGGAGGGATGGGGGGAGTTCCCTGCCCATAGTTTAAAGAACAGGTGCTGCCCAAGGGGGCCATACCTTTCCCACGTCTACGTTCAGGGTGACACGTGTATGTGGCCAGTGACTGAGGTAGATCAGTGTCTTTTCAAAAAAATCCATCAAACCTTTCTCTCAGGGATAAAAGAATTAATGACAGCATGTACCTGGCTGCTTTATTTGGAGGAGGAGAATGGTGTGCATGGCATTTAACAACATCGTTTTGCTGCTTTTAAAGGCAAGATGAG